AGTCGGTGTAACGAGCCTAGAGCATGCATTCTCCTGAAAGAGAGCAGTAATAATTTATGTCTTTCAGAATTTACGTCGCGGGACTTGGTCATTGTTCGGGTAAAACTTATCACCAACCAACCACACCGCGACCTAGTACTGGCATCAGAAGAAGTAAAGAGACTAGTCGAGTACTACATCAGGAGCAAACTACCGCTTCTAATTGGCTGTAACGCTAACGTCCACAATACCATTTGGGGAAGTACCGACACAAATCTAAAAGGTGAGCAACTGTTAGAATTTATCTTTCAAACAATCCTAAATATGCTAAATGTAGGCAATACACCAACATTTGTTACAACCATAGATTACAACGGTCAAACAGGAAGTGTTAGACAAACACTATATAGTCCAAATATTGATCAAATGATCAGAAATTGGAGAGTCTCCAATGAACCCTCTCTCTCTGCAGGAACGAACTATATCGTATAAAAACCCCAGAAATACGAACTGGGAAAAATAGACAACCAAACTGCAATGCAACCTCGCACAAAATCATTTTAGCTGCAAAAATATACGTGAAGTAGAAGTAACCCTTCAGATTCTTAACGGAGCAATCATGGAGGCATAGGAATTCAGCTGTTCCGTGATAGAACAAGTCAACAAAAATGGTTGCCCATGGTGGAACAGTCACCTGTCACAACTTAGATCCAAGGTTCGTTGGCTTTTAACAAATAAATTAGGGAGGCCAAGCGAAAAAACTTCAGATATTTCTCCGAGTGCCACCAGAACTGCAGAAACTGAGGTGGGTGAACAATCCATACAGGTCACCACCACTAGAGGATGCCCGCAGGTATTCTCACCTTTGATGTGGACTCTAGTGGTTGATGACCTCCTTAATTTACTGACCGATCAGGGTTTCACCTGCTTTGGGTACGCCGATGATATTGTCATCATGTCCAGAGGTAAATACAAAGGAATACTATGCGACCTTACAAAAAAAGTACTTCGAACCAGGAAGAAATGGTGTCAAAGAGTGGGGCTGAATCTAAATTCCTAGCAATAACCCTAGATTCTAAACTTCTCTGGAACCGATATGTAGAAAACACAAAAAACAAAGCAGTTTCGGCAGTCATTATCTGCAAAAACATTGCGGGTAAAACATGGGGTTGCAACCCATCAATCCTAAGATGAATGTATACCATGATGATGAGATCTATTATCATCTACGGAGCGGTAGCCTAGTATAGCCAAACCCAACTAGTAATAACTAGGAAAACCCTAGGAGAAGTGTGAAGACTTGTGTGTCTCTGTACCTATAACAGGAGCAATGAGATCATGCCCAACCGCGGCACTAGAAGTCATTATAGACTTCACACCACTCCACATAATAGTGAAGCGGGTTGCCAGTGGATCATGTCTCAGACTGGAGAAGGTAGGTTTACAAAGGAAAACGCACCTTGGTAGAACTTTTCTTCTCCCAAACTATGCACACCTTATGGATCTAGCCCAAAAGACGTGATTGTTGATAAATTCAGTTTCGAGAAAAACTTTTTCATCGAACTAAGTACAAAAAACAGATGGAACATGGAATCTGTCCAATCCCTTGAAACAGACACCATCACATAGCACACAGACGGTTCCAAAATTGCTGAGGGAACTGGAGCCGGAATATTCGGGCCACAGACCAGATACTCGGAGCCAATGGGGAAATCACCCGGCATATTTCAAGCGGAACTTCATGCAATCGGAAGATGCGTGCAGAATTTAGGTGCCGAGAGCAACGAATGCGCAGACAGACTTGTAAGAACGGGAGCGTCTACTCCCTTCACTGGACCAGAACCATTTTGCGGTGTCGGGAATGCGCATCTCAAAGAAGTCCTCAAAGAAGAAGAGAACCGGCTAAGGAACAAACAATACCTAGGACACCCTGTAAAATATATTGTCTGGCTAGCCAAACTTGACAGAAACAATAATAAATAAGTTGGTGACATATTTTTTTTTGCAATATGGGCATGTGTAGCATTTTGAAATGGAATAAAATCCGGCAGCATTGCGAAATGAAGGATGTGGAGAGGCGTGATTATTCAGAGGCAAGATTATATTGGTTACAGCCTGAACGACAGCACCAGTGGCGTGGTTATTGGTGAAACTCAAGAATTTTTTTCCTAATAATTTTTTGGTTTATTTCCCTGGTGAATTCGGTGCCACTGAACCCAAAGACATGGTTGTCATCAGGCGGTGTCAGTGAATATTCTTAGGTTACGCCCCACTTTTCTTCCCCCTTTCATCTCTACCAAGTTACCACTTGCCAGACTATAGGTATTACATATAGGTATCTTTTCATATATTATTATAAATATATTATTATAAATTATTGTTTACCCATAGGCAACCAATTATACTTTGGTACTATAGTTTAGGTTGGTACTAGAATAATAATTATTGTACTAAGTTGGTACTATTGGTTGACTGTATTATAAATAGTAAGTAATTAGGAACCAATTGGGTCCTCTTTCAACAACTGAACTTGCCCATTAAAATATCCATATAAAGTTTATTATAAATATACTCAACAAGTGAGTAGAAGTTTTATTTCTTGAAAAGTATATAAAATACAACCCTTGGCGAACGTTATAGCCAGGACTACGATAGGCCAAAGATCTATTATTGAGCAACTTCAACCAAATAAGATTAGAACTGCTAGTAAACCTTAGCAAAAAGAAGTCTCAATAATCTAACTGGGTTTCTCTCGGAACATTGCAGACTTGAGAATCACCTACAGAAATTGGGGTTGGAAGAAGGTAGCATGCAGATTCTGTGAAGACGAAGAAGAGACACCTCACCATCTTCTACTGCGATGCTGTTAGTCGCTCAAGGATGAAGAACCTGGTCCCCTTATACAGTTGGAAGCCATTCCAGCCCGGAAACCGCTAGATATCCCAAAATTCCTATGGGACTTAGGACTATAGGGGCTGCTTTGAGCAGGAAACCCGAATTTAGCAGCAGAAAAAGGGGAACTATACATCAACCTTGGTCCCAGTGCAACTTACACCTCCAACACATTTATACATACCGAATTATTTATAAATTTATTTCTTATGGACAACAATATTATTTCATCCAAAGTATCTCGTATTTCACATTTGAATTTCATGTCGCTGTTTTTTTCCAAATCTAGAAACATCTCAACTCTTTCAAGGGTTTCAGGATACCAATAAATCGTTTGTTTAGATGCCGAGTTCAAATCAACTTGAAGAGCTTTAACTTAATTATCAATTTAGTTAAAGTTAATATAGCAATAATTAAAATAAAATTATCAGAAAGCTTTACTGGAAATAAAATTAATTTTAATGGTTCATAAAGTTGCTTATATTTTGTCAGCAAGAAATTTATTGAGTCACAGCAGTACATTCTCTGAAACATTTTTCGGTCGTAAATTTTAATACAATGTACCCAAAAATAATTATTTTAAGCAAATCAAACCTCTCAGTAATCAAACTAAAACTGAATGCTTAAATTGAATCCAATCCTCGATAGCCATCATCAAGTCGGGGACAGAAAATTAGATTTCACTGACCCTTTGTCACCCTTTCAAATTGATTATTGCGAATAACGATTCGGTTTATATTAAGAAACTTCACGTGTAAAATGCTGTTTTTATTTTGGAAGCGACATGGTTTTATTAAAAATATTTTGCAATAAAGTCTGAAATATTTGACGATTTTTCTCGGCGCAATTCCCTTAAACTTTCCTAGTAAAGCCGCTTTGCCCCGTGCACAAGTTCTCTGAGATGCCAAAATTAATGAACGTGTTTTGCATATGCAACTACTTTATCAAAGCTAAAATTTTATAATAAAGGAATATTGTAAAAGTTATTTTTTTGTTTAAATTTGATAAGTGAATTCATTACCCAGGTGATTATGACAGGATTTTCTTGTGAGAAAACAAAATTATTAAAATCGAAAATAATGTAGTTTTAGGTGGAAAGTTAGTTTTATAGGATTGAAAGAGCGAGTTGTTAAGGAATTTACGAGCCAAGGCGTTATCCGTGGGTCATAAAAGTTTCCAACGCGATGATGGAAAGAAAACAGAGCGTGAAACACATAATATTTTTATTTGATCAATTTAACTTTAAACATAAACTATAAAACAAGAAAATTCATCGTCCGTGTTGGTTTTGTACGAGAAAATAAATTGGTTGGCTTTGTGTGGTTGATATTTACGGTTTTAGATATGGATAATTCTGTGTAAAGGAAGATTCAGGTGAATTTATCAGCAATATTGAAATTTAATCTGAGAGCTCTGGCAGCTTCACCTCAGCAACTCTTTCATATATCCACATTATCCAGAATGAAATCAAAAATTTTAAAATTTAAAATACTTTAAATTCAAATTGGGACTAATATTATAAGACACATAAGTCCATCTCATTTTAAATTCTTCTTTAATTTAACCATTTTAAGCCCAAATTGGTACTTTATTCACAACAAGTATTCAAGACCCGTAATAATCTGCCATTAAAGTTGTAGACCCTAATGCCTACTTCTGGCCGAGTAATTTGGTATCGAATAAAATAAGGGAGCACGAAGAAGGAAATAATATATTATCCGATTATAAATACGAACGAGAGCCATTTTACTCCTTGCAATTTGCATTTTGATACTAGTACATTTATGGTTATAGTTTGAGTTTTAAATTTATCGACAAAGTTAAATCCGGATTTCGTTGAGGCGCATTCTTGATTCAATTTTAATTTAACATTATGGTATTTTGTACAACAAAAATACATAATTTTTCTGGGCGTGATTGTCGTTTGATGATAGATGTTGGCAACATTTGAAAAAAAAATACCTCATTAATTTGTCTTTTTTGGTGATTGATATCAATCGGTGGTCCAGAGAAATGACGGCGGCGTCTTTGCAAGAAGAACCAGGAACAGGAAAATTCGGACGCGATTGCGTAGTGGAGGCAGCGCCTCGACGCCGGATAGCGTCTGTTAACCTTAGTAGTGTTGCGATGTTCCGTTTGGGCTTTTCCGAAATTTTTTCCGGCTTGCGGAATTCACGGTGCGAGGCGCGAATCGCGACGATTTGAATTGTCCGTTGTTTTTTTTTTTGGAAAAACTTGGATTTGAAGTGAGTGTGTGATTTACGATTTTGTTTCATGGGTAAGTTGAGAAATTTTTTGAAAAACAAATTCAAAATTTCTAAATCAATTAACAATTATTATTGTGCCACTCTCTCAATTATTTTTTTTTTTAATTAGGAATATACCTTGCCATTGATAATTTATGCATATTAAAAGGGCAGAAGGAATTATTAAAGCGTCAGTGAGAGAAGCGCGATAAAAGCTTGAATAATAAATGAAGTGCATTTTATAAAGCATGGAAGAATTCAATTTTTAAATATCCAAAAAAAAAAGTAAGGTCTGGACCCAAAAGTGCACTCGTGGGTTCAAATTATGCATCACTTTATGGTGATGTTTGTTTGAATTTTTGATAACTTTTATGTTTTTCGGCATTTTGGAAAAATTTATTGAGAACATGATGACATGAACATTTATAAAACACAACAAAAGTTTTTTTTTAAGGGACAAATCGTTTTAGTTTCGATGGAAATTTGATGTGAGGATCATTTCTTCAAATGCCAGAGTGTTCTTCAAGTTTCATGGTGTGGATGATATGAGATCTAATACATAAAGTTCTTCTGTATTTGAATATTTTTCTGCAACTTGCAACCTTATTAACACAAAAAAGCATCTATTATGGTTTCTAATTAATATACTTCATCTCAATTTCTATTTCTCAACAATGTACGTAACCTAACAGGCATAACAGGGAAATTAATTTCGAGAATTTGCATCTTGAGTCTTTCAAACGTGCTACACTTCTTAGAACAGCCTGTTTATTTGCCAATTAAGCTGCTCAAGATGTAGTGAACTCAAATGAGAATAAACTTTAGAGTAATTTAATGAAAAATTAATCGCATCTTAAATTGGTGTGTAGATTGTATTAAAATTTTGTAGACTTTTCGACTTTTGAGCACAATAATGTAAAGATTTGATCGATATTTTATTGCACATGGGACCTGAAGTTGAAAGAGTATTGGAACAATTGGACAAACCAGAGAGTGTTTCAGAAACCAAAGAAATATTGAATAAACATTTCCAAATAAAAAATAATGTAATTTATGAACGAGCTGAATTTAACCTCAGACATCAACATGAAGGTGAAAGTGCCTTGGAATATATAGAAGTTATAGGAAAATTATTGAAATCTTGTAATTATGGTAAATTAACAGACGAATTTATCAGAGACTGGTTGTAAGCACGTGGTCAATTTTTGACCGTTCGCAAATATAGAAACGTATGTAGATTGTTCCTAAATCTGCGAACAGCCATAAGTTCTAATTTTTGGCCGTACGAAAAGTTTCGTATGCGCATATTTTCATTCGCTTTTCTGCGAGCGGTATTCTAGTCGCCTTATTCGGTTTGCGTATTCGTTTTTCTTGTGTCAAGTGGGAGGTTGTTTTTGTTTTTCAGTTTGTTTGATAGCGATTTTATTATTGGATTATTGTGTATCTACTATCTCTATATCTGGGAAGGTGGTATATAAGGTATGCTACAGCACTTAGGCCACAATTATGACGATTGTGCGCTTCCACAAGAGGAAAGGTCATCATTAGCTCGTCATCCTGCCTAGAGATTCTTCGTAGGCGATGACGTCGCCGAAGGCGGTGCATCTGATCTCTTCTAGTGATGGGTACGATTGGCTCTGCGTATTGGCGAAAGAGCAGTGCAGTCACAGAGAATGTGCTCTATCGTCTCGTCTTCTTGATTACAAGGTGTATCTACTATAATATGGAAAACTTGATGAATGCGCTGGCAATTGGTGATTTGGAAAACGCAAAGATACGAAATCGACGCAACCATCGACATAACCGCCGTGATCCATTCGTAGAGCTAAACCAAAGGGCCTGTTTCTCAATAGCGAGTAACCTCCGGGTTGGTTTTAACTCCAGGTTAAACGTGTCCGGTTGCAATGTTTACCCTGGAGTTATGCTTAACCCGGGGGTGACTTGCTATTCAGAAACCGGCTCAAAGACAGTTTATTAAAGGGTGTTCATTTGTACTTGTTCTACCTGCACGAAAAATCAGAAAGATCTGCTAGGAGCTGCTATTTATTAGCTTATATGAGACAAGTGAACGCCGATCTGCTGCTGAGATCTGCTTGGAGCAGGAAAAGCAGTACAAATTACAAATACACACCCTATTAATATGTTCTGATTGTCGAAAGAGCTTGTTAGATATTTGGTTGAATGTTTAGAACCTCATACACGTCTGGCACAACGACCAACAGATTTAGATGTCTTGACTTAAGTAGGAAATGAATGTTATTTAGAAGGTTGTTTTGCAATGTTTGTTATACAGTTAGTTTAATGCGGTACTACTCATGGGTCTTGATTATGCGTTGAAATTTTTCGCAAGCGGTAGCTATCTACCGGATTAGCTGTAGCTTGCTTTTCACATGGTACTTCACAAGTTTCTTTTGCTTTTCATTGGCATTCGCACCCCTTTTCTTTTAGTTTTTGTCACTTCTTTCTTCCATAATCTACCACTATCGTAAACATCCACAATTCTTCAAAATTAATTCAAAAAGGCAAAAACACGTCAAAAATTTGTCAAACATTCTAAAATTTCCGACGTTGCCAAATCAACCATACGTATGTTTACGAATTCGCAATATCTACGTTTATCCATTTACGCACACCGGTCAAAAATGGGTTTCTAGATACGTATACGTTTATTTTTGTTCGCAAATCTTCGAATACGCAATTTAACGTATATTGTCAAAAATTGACCCCCACAGAGGTATATTAGATCACAAATTATCAGAGCAGCTTCAACTATGGATGATAAATTGGATTTCAAGGAAACTATAGAGGAGATTACACATTCAGAATTAATCCGAGAATAAACTAAAGATATCAGATAAGAAGTAAATCACCTCTGATATAAATAAAATGGAAAAGTTCACAATTAAAAAAACCATTTATACAAAGAACTAGATGTTTTAGATGTGGAAATTCACCTCATGCATATGAAAATTGTCCTGCAAATGGAGAAATATGTTCAAAATATAAAGTTAAAGGTGAATGGGTATGAGGAGTGTTATGACTCTGATGATGATGTTCATGTACTATACGTGTTATACATTAAGAAAATTAACTTAACACATGGAAAAGTTGGGCGAACTTCAACTTAATGAAATCCGTGCGTTAAGAGCACTAATCACAGCGTTTTAAAACGATGTAGCAATATACTTCTGTTTATTTGCATATAATTTGACTTGAAAGTTGAGGTTGTAAGTGCGCATGCGTAACGTAACAAAATTAACTTCATATTGTAAACACACACCTTCTCACAAAGTGTTGCTAAAAATTGGGCACTCGCTGTGCCGTATGTCACGGTCAGGAAAGAAACAAAGTATATTTCATGCAAAATTGTTTAATGAAATTCAGCATAGTAGAGCGCTTTCGGCTTTCGCCATCATCAGTACTACCTGCAAGCGAGCGAAGAAGAAATTCATTATAGAGCAGTTGTAAATATGTATAATAATAAATTAGTGGATGTAAAATTTTTGAATTCTTTCTTTTTACTCAGTTGTCAGGTTTCGACACAGAAGTTAAAATTGTAAAAAGACAGCAACGACGAGAATAAAAAGCATTACGTCACGACGAGAAAATACAGATCTGTACACGAAAAGGTCACAAACAATATGAAACTTTTAAAATATCACACGAAGCTAAAATAAATTAAATTAATTCTCTCGGGGACCGCCAGAAAGTCAAGATTTGAATATAAATATAAACTGATTATCGGAGAATATAATTGTTTTTTCAATGATTTGATGTTATTAGGTGCTCTGGTGTTCATTGAATGAGAGCGAGTTTAGTCTTCAGTTATTTTAAACTTAAAAATCTGCAATTCATCCTGTCAAGTTAAAGTCAAACTTTGTTACGATAAATTTATCATTTATGTAAGATGTTCCATCTCTTCTTATTTTCATTATAAAGTTTTTTTTTTTCCTTTTCATAATTCAAAATAATTTCTAATATTCTAGAAATATCCACAAAATTTCAAAAAATACAAGTGCTGCCATCTATCCATCATGTCTGTAAAATGCAAATATCTTACCGGTACTGCCATCTAGTGCCCGATGATCTATATTTCAAAGTATGATTTTTAAATTCGCATTTGACAGTCATTTGTATTTTCATTGAAAGAAATTATATTTATCTCACTTTTAGCAAATAGATATATTTCTGTCCTTTTCTAACTTCTGATTCTGAAATAATCATTTTTTGGCTCAATAATCTAATTAATTAACAGTTTTTAATTTTTGACATAACCTTAATTTAAATTATTATAATTTGTAAACAATTGAAATAATTTTAGTGGATTCTCTTTTATTCCATGCGGTCTTTCATTGTGTTTTCATTTTGAAGTGAATATGGTCTTCTGGGTGTACTCGTCTGATTGGTTGAAGCTGGTTGGAATGCAGTTAAGTATAAAAAACACAGGATCGTTTTCCTGCTGACTGGGGTTTCTAAAACGCTCTCTTTCCTTGATGGCGACTCTGGCAGGCAAGTCCTCTTTATTTTTAAATAATTTGTGCCTTGAATTTCTGGATTCTCCCTTGTAAATTTTATCAATTCATATTATCATATCTTTATTAAGTTTTTACCTGATAAATCTTATCTTATCTGTTTTTGTGAATTGCTTATTGCATAGTGCCACGTTTTGTTAAGAAAGAGGTTAGTCAAGACAGATTTTTGGGTTTTAGATAGGTACTGCTGCTCTGGCTTTCAGAATCAATTTTTAGTGTGGGAAAATTGGACCATTTGCTCTAAATAGAGTCGGTGAGAACCCAATTTGTGAGTCCATCCCCATTAACTCTTTATTGAATCCAGGCAGAGGCCTGAACAGCCATTTTCTGTTTGACTCCCTAAATTGTTACCTCAACTGAAGGGTGTAATTTTTCAATAGAAATCCAGACAGGTCAAAAATTCTTTATAGCACTAGTGTTAAAAATAAAACATCAAATTTTGTATTTTTAGTTATGTACATTGATATTAATGGTGAAATTTCAACAACTGAGGTCGCCCG